GAAAAAGACGTGCCCGCTCCTCCTCTTTCGATTGGTGAAAACCGCAGGTAGCTAGGTATTGCGGTTGTCGAGTTATTGAGCTTACACTCACCCCTCTTTTATTCTGGCGCGGACATTAGATGGATTGTTCTTAATACAATATGTATTTTTTTTTTTTATTCATTGAAAAGATACAAATCTCTAATGAACTATCTTTACATATTTTTTGTTTTATTTAAACTTTAACTTACATTTGCTGATTGTTGTGATTGATAATTTCCTAAATTTGAATGCATACTTGATGGATCTTGATTACTTAATTCATTTAATGCATTTTTAAAAATTTCATTTGTATGTGATGGATCATCATTAAGATCTTCAATAGCAGCATGAATTAATTCATCATGATTATAACCATCATCATTATCGATATCATCATTATTTATATCAGATCTATTAATACTTTCATCAACTTGTGCAAGACAACTTTCATGAATTGTATTAATAAATGAATCACTTGGAATTTCATTAAATGAAAAATCACGTAATGCTTGATTACCTAAATAAAACAAAAAAAGAAAATTTTAAATTATAAATATAAATTATATTTTTTAACCAAGAATATGATCATGTGTTTCATTATTTTTAATAACATCACATAATGATGTTAAATCAATTATTTTTGTTATTGTATGATTAAGAATATTATCAATTTTAATTTGTTGTTCATCTAATTGACTATTTGCATTTGTAAAACCATCAATCAATGGATAATCACTTGATGAATACATTGTACTTGAAACCATTTCAGCATATATTGAATCTTTTCCAATTCCACCACGCCATTGACACATATTTGGTGGTTGTAATGGACGAAATTCAAATTCATGTTCAAGTGTTATTTTAGTTAAATCATTAACAACAAATGATGTTGCTTTTGCTTTAACACGACGTGTTGGTTTTTTTGATTCATTTTGTTCAGAATCAATGTTTTCATTATCACCTTCTAATCGATTTTCTTCTTTATTTCCATCGTCATTTGATTGTTGTTCTTCTTCAGTATTCAGAATATTTCCACTTAATTTTTGTGTTTCTATTTGTAATGCATCAACACGAAAACCATAGATTTTAGCACTAAAAACATAAAGAAAGTCTTTAATAAATGATAAAACAAATAATCTAATTTTCTAAGCATAGTTCAAGTAAAAAATTAGATCGGTTATTATTTTTGGTGTTACAACCTAAAAGAAAGATTAATTGGGTAGCATATCAAGAGTGCATCAGAAATTGTCAATATAAAGGACAGAACATAAATAGCACTGGGATAAAAATTGAAATATTTCCACTCAAACAGACTAATTTTTAGGTTAGGGATGGACATTTTTTTTTTTTTGCTAAAAATTAGCTTTCTGTACATGAATATAGTTCATTTTTATTCTCTTTGATGACAAGTGAAATTTATCTGTAGAACACTTTAAATGTATTTTTTGTTACCTGATAACATGTAAAAATTCTCATTATGATACCGACAATAATATTTAATCGTCGTATTTGTTTAGCTTATTCGTATGAAAAAAATACTTTGAATAAGCTTCCATCAATAATAAAAAAATCACCCTATTTAATTGAATCGACGCAGAAATATTTCACGTTTTTATCCTAATGCTATTTTTGGAGCACTTTGTATAGAGCAGATACTATTGCTATAAAAGATAACGCATATTGAAGCGCTTATTTTGAATAGTAGACGATGAAGTGGCAAATGCAATAGCATGATCAAGAAGATTTAATTTCCTATGTTCAACTTTCAAAATAGGATCAGGCGAAAACTTCCATTATTCTTAAATTTTGATTAGAACATAAGATTTCAAACCTAGTATCGATAACTGAACCAGCTTTAACAAAATTTGGTCCTAGATTATGATTATCTTTATCATCGAATGCAATAACATTTAAAACTTGTGGTAAACGTTCAACAAGTGGAATACTAAATGCATTTTTAATATTAATCTTTCCTTGTGTAGCTAATTCAAGTGTTTTTTGATATAAATCAACTAATTGTGTTGGTGTTTGAATTGGTTCATCACTAAAATTTTCACCATTAATTGAATTATTAAATAAACGTGATTGTCGTCGTCCTGTAAGACTTTCATTAAGAGAATTTTCTTTTTCATTATTATCATCTAATGTAAAAAGTTTTGTTGTACGACGTCGAGCAGCTAAAGATCTAAATTAAACGAAAATAAAAAATTATATTTAAGAAAAAAAAGAAAACAATATAATTTTACCGTCGGGGAGTTGGTTCTCCTGTTCTCATTGTTAATGCCATTACTTTTTAACTTATTTAGTTAAATAAAACAAAATAAATTTTTTACTATTTTTTTTTTTAACTGGTCGATATGTCTTTGTTCTTTGTTTCATCTTGTTGTTAGGATAACCAATTCAATATTAAGCGCTACTATCAATCTAAAATGAATTTCATATGAAGATATCTTCATATAATCTGTGTTTACTGTTGCTATTTTCTACTTTCGTTTGCAGTGAGTATAATTCATTGAAAGTTGATTAGAATTTTGAGATTCAGTTTCGACTGTAATTCTTTCCGAATCGTAAAAAAGAAAAATTCTCGACGGTAAAATAACATGAATAAAATATTCAAGAGTTTTTATTTTTACATAGTCACAGCTTTATTCTGTATTTGTTAAGTAACGAAGAAAAAATATACTAAAACTTTTACGTCATTAGAAGATCTTTGACCTTCTCTTCTAGTCAATCTAACTTCACAATTTCTAATTAAAAAAGTTTGTTAGAAAAAGCACACCATTTTTGTAGATTTAACAAGTTGTTTTTAGAAATCCAGAAATAATGTCTGTTATAGCTTTTTAAGATTTACAGCTCATAACACTAAAAACTAAGCATATTTGACTTTGTAGAATACTACATTCGAATACTAAGAACTAAGATTGTGTAACAAATAGATCTATATGCTCATACATATTTTATTAACACTACATTCCATGATTCATCGGTATAATCATCATATGCTGCACACTTATAGTTTGTACAAATTAATAAAGTATTGAATTTTCTTTAACGAAATTCATATAAACAGACAAATTAAATAAAGAAAATCGATAAAAAATCAAAGTTGTGTGTTTTACAGCATATTTGAATCACATAAAAGATCATTTTCAAATAAAAAACAACAACAAGACTTAATCAAAATAATATATCGGTGATCTTGCCATTCTCTCTATACAATTTCAACTTTTCTGAAATACTTTATAAAATAGAATTAAAACTTTATACTAACGATCTCCTTTTTAATCGATAAATACAACAATTCACATTATTTATTTCTATATAATTTATGGAAAAAGCATAACAAAGATTTTGAAAATCTCTTGTAATTCAAACTTGTTTTGTTTTCTTTTTCGGTCAAATAGCTGAATTCAATCCTTCATTGATGATCTTGAAATATCATATAAATTCAGTAAAATTCTAATATGACTTCATAAAAATTTCCAATGCTCTTCGATCTAATAATCAAGAAATGCAAAAAACTCATTTATGTTCTTTTCCGTAATGGTCTTACAAAATAAATGAAAGTCAGATCAGTGAAGCAAATCTTATTACAATTCAATGATAAGATGAATGGGACATTGTGTATTTTTATGAATGATATACTTCTTATTGATATGACAAATACTGTTTACTATTTTGAAACTAATCACACTAGATCAATATGATAGAGAAAAAGATTAATTGAAAATATTTTAAATTGAGAAAAGAAAAATTAAATTAGTTTGTATTCATAATTGAAGAATAATATAGATTAATTATAATCATAAAGAATTTGCTTGCATCAAATAATATTTTTAATGTATTCTAGTTCATACTCACCTATCCACAATGCTCGTTCTGAATACGTTAAGACTAATATATTTGCATCGATTTGATATTTATTCTAATGATAATGAAGCTTTAGCAAATGAATATCTAGCACGTAATCAATGTGTGTGTGGGTAAGAAAAGTAGATATCTAAAGAGATGATCTTTACTCCACACTGACATTCATAATGATACAATGAATTGTATATAATTGGACAGCTATCGATTACGGCTATGATTAATCTTAAAAATTCTGTCTTTACGCTGCTGCATTGATGGTGACATATTTTAGTTACTTTAGCTTTTCAAGGAAGAAAAACAGTTTCTTCATTGGTGTTGGTTAGTGAAGTAGCAGACGCCTACTTGAGAATCAATCATGCCAAGTGTATGATTGACATTTACAGTAAGCCAAAATGAAAGAATAGAAAAGAAAAAGTATTTGTTTTTATTCAATTCTCTTTCATAAGCCGATACGATTTTGTTTTTACTATTTCTTTTTTTAAAAGAACAGTTGAGAAGCAAGTTAAATTCATGGCATCAAAATGTAGTGGAATACGTTTGGTAGCTTTCGATAAACAACAAAAACTTACTACACCAATACGTAATGCAACAATTGAACTTATTGAATTATTTGAAGAATTATCATCTTGTATTTCATTTATTGAACAACAAACAAAAGAAAATAAAGTTATTATTTTAATAACAACAACTCTAGAAGAAAATATATTACAAACATTTGAATCTCTAACAATTATTGAAGCTATACTTATTTCATCAACAACAATTACAGATGTAGATACATTACCAAGTAAAGTCATAGGTGTTTATTCTGAAACGGAATCTTTATTACGATCATTATCTGAAATACTTGATATAGTAGAACAACGAATTAATGCTAATAGTATTATTTTTAATCATCATATAGATGGAACTGATAATTTAGCTTTTTATTTTTATTATTTATGGAAAAATCATAGTGAAGATCAAAAAAGTACAAAAAAATCTCTTGTAGATCAAGCACGACTTATATTTCAATCAAATAATCAAATAAAAGCATGTATTCAACAATTTGAAACATCATATAAACCAAATGAAGTTTTTACTTGGCTTGATAAACAACATCATTCATTTCCATATCATATTCTTATTTCAAATGCTCTTCGTTCTCATAATCAAGAATTATTATTACTTAGTCGTTTTTTTCTTGATGATCTTACGAAAAAAATGAAACCTTTAACAACAGGATCTAATTATAAACAAGTTTATTTTGGTACAAAATTATCAATCAATTTTATTGATCAACTTGAACAAAGAATAAAAACCGATATTATTGCATTTCAATGTTTTCTTCCTGCAACATCCTCAAGAGCTAATGCTTTAATCGAAGCTACTCGACCGTCTCGTCGTCAAAAGATGAATAATGTTCTTTTTAAAATTAATATGACTAATACATTATGTGCAAGTTTAGGTGAGACAATTTTTATTGATATGTCAACACCTTTTCAAATTTCATGTGTAACAAGAAGTACTGCTACTGCTAGTAGTCAACAATTACTAACTGTTATTAAATTAATGGCACTTAATAAAGATGATACAGATCAATTATTTGAACAATTTATTCAACGACAAAAACAATTAGGCAAAACAATAAATGATTTGTTACAAAGAATAAATTCTGATATCAGGTTAGTTGTTTGATAGTGCTTTTTTTTAAAGTAAGTAATCATGGCACAAGTAAAGATATTCTTGAATTGTTTTAATCATATTTAAATGTGATCTAGATGCACTGTTGTTTGGATAAAATTTGCTGTTCTCTCCATCTTGAAGTGCTTCTATTCTTTATGAGACTGAGCTGATATTTTGGATGCACACATGCAACAGTCAACTTTGATCACAAGCCTCGATTCGCACTCAATCGGTTATACTGGAGTTATTATTTAGATAGTTCTAGTCATTTGAATCTTTTCCATGATGTCTTTGACTGATGCATTTTAAAATTTAAATCGAAAGTTCCCATGAGATGACGAATCTTTTCTGAAAGTTTTCATGCTGCAACATTGAATAAAGCTGAGTTAGTGTTACGACATTAGTTGACTATCTCAGAGCATGTATTGCAAAGTAATAAATAAAAATTTTTTCAGATCATATATCTGCTAAATAGATTTTTCACAAGAGAAAGAAGATGTGCGAATCATAACTCCAGTGCATCTGAACCGATGGAGAGCGGGCTGATGTTTGCGATCAGGCTTTATTATCACATGCATGCACCGGAAATATTTGTTTTTTGGGAAGGGAGCAGCGGTGGATGGTGCCTTCGCAAATTATGTTGTGTTATCAAGAATGTTCGGTACTAATATAATAGCAGCACTATGTATTAACCTCGACAGAACAATAGAGGAGCTATTGTTCTAGTATCGTCGTTAACTACTCTAATGATGATTAGTATTCTAGATAATACAGTACATGTAGCGAAGGCACTACTGCCTGCCAACCCATCCGCTACTACTTTACCTAATATTTTATCGATATTAACCGGATTTATATGTCATTCTAGTGACGATGAAGCTTTAGCAGATGAACATATGGCACGTCGAGAATGGTCACAAGCAGCAAATATCTTTGCTTGTATAATTAATCCAAACGTTCGTGTTCTAAATAAATATGGATGTTTATTACGTGAACATTTAAATAATCTATCTGGTGCCTTAGAATGTCATCAACAAGCATTATTGAAAGCTACTGATCGAGAACAAGCTGAAACACTTATTTGTTTAGGTTTAGTCCATAAAGGTATGAAACAACATGCCGAAGCATTGAAAGTTTATTCTCAAGCGTTACAATGGTTTGAAAATGAAACGAAACGAGATCCAGTAATGATTGCTCGTTGTCTTATTGGTATTGGTAATGCGCAATGGGCACGTCAACAACTTACTGAAGCACTTGATTATACTGAACGTGCTTTAGCTATACGTGAACATGAAATCAAACCAAAAAATGATTTTGATATTGCTGCTTGTCTTGGTAATATGAGTAATATATTACATGATCAAGGTGATATTAAACGTGCATTATCATGTGCTACTCGTGCTGTTGATCTTTTGAGTGCATGTGGAAAAGATGATCCTCGTCTTGCTGCAGCATTGAATAATTTAGGTGCTATTCACATAGCTAATGGTGATTTAGTTAAAGCACGAGAACATTTTGAACGTGCACTTGAATCTATATCAAATGAGAATCATCCACATAGAAAAAGTACATTGGCTAATCTTGCTCGACTCGAAACGATGGAAAAGTCGAAAAAATAAACTCATTTTTCGTTTACAGGATATGTACTAATAACTTTCCAACAGAGTAAAACTATAATTTCAAATAACATAAGTAAGAGTACAGGTGTGCGTGAATGTGTAAATATGAGTGCGATTATTTGAATAGTGAAAAGAAGCATCACACTGCACGAACGCCGACATCTTCACCGATATCAACATGCACACAACACCCACATCCTTCGAAAAACTCTGCTAGGCATTTGCATCTGAGTGAGCGGTTGTGCGGAACTGTCACGTTCGTCTCAGTCATGTAACAAATGGTTCCATGTGAGTTCAGGATATACAGATAAACACAAGCCTGAAAAGAGTAAATTCGTGTCCGGTTAGACAAAAGTATAGTAATCTCTATCATTTAATGAAAGCACAACGCATCAATAGTATTTGAAAATCTATGGATGATTTTCGTTCACTCAAAAATCTATCCAATATTAACGATGATAAAACTTGACGATCAGATATTTTTAATCAAAGCACCTTATAGAGTTGTATAGCAGTCAATGAAAGTGATTGATTGATACATGAAGCAGCCAAAACACATTAACAGGATCTTAACAGGAATAGAAAACTGGTTCTGAACAACATGCAGCTAAAATAAAATACGATGCCGACGTGAAAGTTCTCTAAGTCACACTTCCCGATATTGTTCGATAGTATTAATTAAATTGCATTGAAAATATTGAATATATAACATCACGCAATATCTAATCATAAATTTTAGACACTTACATAATACGAGCTAATGGCAGAATACATAATGGACGAGGTCATAGCGTTTTCATAGTTGCCTGAAGAACTATAATGATAATATCTTAGACACAGTGCTGTCTACAATTGATTGCTTTCGATGATTTCGACTTAATTCATCATCACATAATAAATTGCATTTGCAATATTAAGTAGACATACAAACTCATATGTAACTACTTATTCATCATATTTCTGTCGAAGTCTGTTCATGAAGAAAGAACAAGAAATTCCAAGTTTATAAATATTCATATTTTACCATGCGACAAATCAAATTTAACAGAATACATAGTAAACCGTAGCAGTTACCGTGACACTTTCACAATGTATGATTACTTTGTCCAAACATATGATTGCAGAAGCACATGAAATTTACGATACAAAACTATTATAAACTCATTTAAACGAGAAAAAAAAACATTAAACACACCATATATTCAACATGCATCTAAAAAATTTTCATCGATGTCGACCAAAATGATTCCCATTCTTGTTACATTACCGGTAGAACTTGTCTACCTAATTCTTGATCATCTTAGTGATTTTGATCTTTTATGCTCGACGGGAGTAGTTTGTACATGTATGAATGCAATTGTCGACACCTATCATCGATATCAGGTAAAACACAATTATATCTAAAAATTCAACTTTTATCATCTTCAACATATTATTCATGTATTTGAGATATCAATCTATATGTCTTACTAGAGTAATGAATTTGACGATTCGTTGGGAACGATTTATGCTTTTAGTTCCAGTTGAAAGCTGTGATTGATCACTGACAATAATTGAATTTTTAGCTACAAAACGTCACTAGTTACAATCCAAGAATCATAAAAATGAGAACCACTCATTGAGATGATGATAAATAAAAGGATCGTAAGAGAAATTAATACTTGAAACTACATTTCATAGACCATCATTCACATTGAAGCAAGAAAAACACTGCTAAAATCGATTGTTTTCAGAAACGATATCTCAAGAAAACTATTACATCACTGATATAGAGCGATATTTGAGTAGTTTCTTTCCATTGTACATTAGCTAGAAGAACATACGAAACTGTAACAACGTTTAAGAAATACACGAAGGAGTAAAACGGTGTAACGAACATGAGAGCATCAACAACTTTTACTCTTGATGAGTAAATTTTTGTTTTTCTACATCAAACATTGACGACTATGACGGCTTATTTTGCCGATTTTTTTCAAGGACTCCTCAGCTTTACCGTTCTTGCCACAGTTTCGAAAATAAGTATCGTCAATTTTACAACAATTTTAAGATAAATAAGATAGACTACAAAAAAAAAATGCATACACTTATGACATTTTTCAGTGTTTCTTTTCTCAAAAAAGAAACACTTCAATGTGGATGAACTAAATCAATGATTTTCCAATTGAAGCCACACCTACCGATTATAGTTTTCATTACGATATCACTTCATGAATCCTTCCATCATTTCAACTTTCTTATTCTACACATAAACATTAACCATACTGAATCTCAGTGACAATCAAATCGGTCGTCAAAGCTTCGAGCTTCTGTTCAATGATCGACAATAAAATCGAATAAACTTCTTGTGTTTTGTTTTTACTTGTCATGTTTGTTTTCTCTAGATTCGTTTTGAAACAGAAGTACGGTGTTGTTCTCATTGTCAATCAACATAGAATCAGTAGAATGTGCAATGAATATTACCACACACAAGCGTCATGTGACTAAGCTTTATTTCAGATGATGAAACAAGCTTTCGACTGTGTTACGAATATCCGTCAACTCAATGTAATCAAGTGAAACGATGTAAAACTATTAATGATGTGTGGGATGGGGGTGTGAGTGGGTATGTGGGTGGGCGTGGATACTAGTGTAGATGTCCTGATTTATTCACTATCAATAGACTCAAATTACATAAAATAAATGGTTATAAATTCATCTTGTTATTTTTATCATACATGTCGTTCTGATCATGCATTATAATAAATAACAAGAACATATGAGCTTTGTTATATTTTATGAAATATTAACTTTTAGGAACAAATAAAATTTAAACACAAGAAAAGAAAACTATAGATTATTTGATCGATACTATTTTGGTGCACGAATAAACACACGTCATTTCAAAATATTTATTAGACTGTAACTATTTTTTAAAATATTTTAATGGTAAGAAAATCTCTACATTATCGAAAGAACGACATATATTAATGACAAACAAAGTAAAAACGAGTTATGACCGGTTTACTAAATCTTTGATCATTTTTATGTACTCTCCGGAAGATTGAATAACGAAGTATTGATCCAAAATAATTAGATCGAAATTCTATCATTTGATTATTTGGAAACTATCTATGAATGAATCGAAAATCAGATAAACCAATCATAATTCAGTGACAGAGACCTGCCTGTAATATAAAACAGAAAATGAATATTGATTGCTCACCTGTTGTTTTATTGATAGCCAGCAAGAAATTCAAGCACAAATTCAACCTACGCATAAATAGCATATGCCGATCTCTATTTCCGAAAATTTAAATAAAACCAGAAAATTCTTGAAACAGAATATACATACATATCACACTCGCTACTTTGCTCGATCAAGACAAGTGAAACATTGTTATTAAAGTGATTTTTTTCTGAATTATTGTGCAGTATCACGATTGAAAGATATCGTAATAACATCAATCGTCTACTTTTTTTGTTGAACAACTTTATTTTGAAGTAAATATGAGAGTATTTCAGGTACAACACCGGATCTCGAGCGGTTGAATATGTGAATATGTAAACAAATAAAAAATTCAAATTTATAGCTCTCCTTGTGACTTTTATTATTTTCATCGCAACTTTTGAGTTTAACGATATATTATTTTACCAAGAAATTTCAATCTGTTTTCAGTTACTGGAGAATTATTACAATGATATCATATAATCAAATCTCGAAAAAAATTTTTTTTCAAAACCTTTGCTCGTTTGTTGATTGAAAAGAACGAAATAAAATTGACTAAAAATCGATATTCATAGGACGGTGAACTTATCGATGTATATATCTAATCTCATCATTGAAATCTCGAACTAGAAATCATATCAAACGAATGAAATCGATTTATTTTAGAAAATGACATTAATTTGAGAACAATAAAACTGAACTTTACTCAATTGTTTGTTGTCTAAAATACATCGTCACATTTTCAGCATTTATTATTTTTCTTGAATTATGCTCATCTTCATAATTCAAAACGAGAATATTTATTAGTAACTACTCGTAAAAACTAATCTTTTTTTCTGAGTTTCTTTCTATGAAACATTTTAGTTGTTTGTTCTACGATAAATAATGTTTTATTAGAGATAATGAAGAGAACGTTTATTGACAAAAAGACAATAGATGAGAAACGAACTGATTGAAGTGAAACGATAGCAAATAAACAACATAATCGTCAATCAATCTTTGTTTTTCAGATGATTTTATTTTTACTGATGTCGGTTGTAGAAGTTTTTTACTGTCTCATATTAAATAGAAACTAACTTGAAGATGTGGGTGCGGGTTTGAGAGTCGTCTTCTCTCTCCCACGCTACATTTACACCATCTTACACAAACACACACACACACACATCTGGAACGAAGTATAGTTCAGAAGTAAATGATCTTAGTATCTAGGAAAGCTTTCTTTTCTGAAGTTCTTCAAATAACCAAAAACATTCAATTTATCCAAACTTCTTGATGAAGCCTCTCGCAGGGCAGACATTTAGATTATGGTAGCTATTCATACACATACCCACACCACAACCTCTGTCAAAATCATCGATTTGGGAGTTAATCACATTGACATTCGTTCAGTCGTCTTCGTACTTCGTTTTTACTTAAGGTGCAGAAAAAATCTTCAACTATTGGTTCAATCAGATTGAGTCAGTTTCAAAGGGCTCACAGATCAGACAAAATAAAAGCCACATATGTTCTTTCATACAAGCATTGCCGTCATTCGGCACGAGAAAGATTTAAATATTATGTATTACAATTGGCTAGATTGAATACATTCTACGAGAAATGAATATAAACAGCGTACTTAGTTTCATTTTAACTTTCGAGACAACAGGATAAAGACAAATGTGGTGCACTACTGAAAACTCAGTCAATACATAATATTTCAATAAAGCAGATAATTAAATCGATCTTGGTTAAGTGTATATTCATATTGAACAAGTTCCAATATTACTGTAAAAGTTATTGAATTCTACAAGTTCGA